AGGATGAATAAAATATAAATTTTTTAGTGTATCAAAACTTATAATAAAAGTACTTAAAATTTTAATCCAATGACATATGTGTAATTTTTTAATTATTTAATAATTTAATTTTGCAGTTACGAGTTTGACTTTCTAAATGATGTTGATTTTGAAATATTATCATTTTAAATTTAATATATGGAATCATTTTAAAATTGGGCCTTAATTTCACTGTAGGGCAAAGGTATGTTACTGGGTTGAGCCCGCTCTTTTTTTTTCTTGTGGATAAAGTCCCGTACATATATTTAACATAGTTGGTTTTTCTAGCATACATATACAGGTGTGTTTGTTTGAAAGAATTTGAAGGATGTTTACTAATATACGGGTGTGTTTGTTTGAAAAATTTTGTAAGATGTTTATTATTCCTACAAAAAAATTTTCAAAAAATATCAAATTAAATATATATATTTTTTATATTATACTAAAAATTAACTTTTACATTGAAGACATCATATCAATTTTTATTTGTATCGCATTATACTACTATTCAAATTCAAAAATTTTAGTAGCCAAAATCCAAACCCGAAACAAACACACCCTTAAATTAATTCCATCCGTAAACAGTTTATTTCTTCAACAAAAATCTTTTTAACATATTTTTCTAAAAATTAATTTTTATATTATATATTTCATCTGTTTCAAAACAATAGTCTCATTTTGTCATTTTTGTCCGTCCCAAAACAATAGTCACTATTATTAATATCAATATAATAGTATTATTATTCCTTAATTTTCATACCAATCTCAAATGTGTCTATTGTTTTGAAACGAAGGAGTATATAATTCCCTATTTCTTCAAATCAAAATACTCCCCCCGTTTCATAACTAAGTATCCATTTTTCCATTTTAATCCGTCCCATAACAAAGTATTCATTTTCTTTTTTAGTAATTGTACTATCTACCTAACATTACAAATACCCTTACAACTTACAAGATATTACACAAATGTCATTACCTTTATATCACACAATACTAATAAGGTTATTTTAATAATTTCTACTTTATTCATACTACATTATAATATAATACTAATATTTCTAAAACCCCGTACAAAAAGCAAATGGATACATAGTTATAGGACGGAGGGAGTATGATTTTTTAATTTGAATATCCAACGACTAATTCTTCCCTGAGTTGCATCAGATCCACGTATCATTCTTTTCATATGAGGCGTATGACATTAAGAATAGAAGAAAAATTTGACAAGTATTGTGGAGACAATAATGTGTTGATGTCTTTGGGTGCTATTTTTAGATCCAATATATTAAAGAAGCTTATTGATTTTGTTTTTCTAATAATTTATGGTGAGGATGAAGCTTTGTATTACATGAGTGAGATCAATAAGATTTTGTATGATCTTTCCTATGAGTATATCACGAGTTACATTTTTGAAAAGAGGCTTGCATCAAAGCGTAAACATTCTGAAAATTGGAGGATCTTCAACTTCTAACTCTTTGGGATCTAGTGGGGTTGGAAGTGGAGTTTAACCGGAAAAACAAAGTTTCATATATGCGTGAGTAAGTCTAATAAAGCGCTGCCACAAAAATTTGATTTGAATGTTTATTTGAGTAAAAGTAGATATGTTTGTGACGTCAATGCAAACCTTGATGTTTTGGGTTGGTGGACGAAGAAAATTGAGTTTTCGAGTATTCACAAAAATGAAAAGTGATATATTATCTATTCCTATTTTAGCGCCGATGGTAGAGTTATTGATGATCGTAGGGCTTTTATATCGATTGATACGGTGCAAATGTTACTTTGTGGCAATAATTAGATTAGAAATTACATGACTTTAAAAATACTTCTTAAAAAAAAGTAATACTTTTATTATTTTCTTTATTTTATATTTTTTTCTATGTTAAATTAAATTGATATACTTTTAAATTCTATTACAAGAAAAATTTGATGTTAAGGAGTTTTCTAATTATAAAGAAATTGAACTTTCAAGTTGAATCCTTGAAATAAACAATTTATCGTAATTCAATTTATCATTTTAAAATTATATTGCATAGTTATATTTAGTGTAGCCATTTATTTTAATTTTACATATATTGATATTTTGTATATATTATTTTTGCATATTTTCAAAGTTAAAGGCATAAAATTTATATCATTTAATTTTTTTTTTAATTTATTCCAAGTATATATATTCTACTTGTGATCTATAGTTATATTTGATTTATAGCATTTAGATATACTAACATTTGTATATATTATTCTCTCCGGCCCACATAAAATGTTCACATTTTTTATTTCCGTCTTTCCTATATGATTTCTCATTTCTTTTTTTTTTGAAAATATAAATATAAAATTTAATCATATTTTAAATTTCATAATTTTTAATTTTTTACTCTTAATTAAATTATTTAGCCATCTTAATTTTAATCTATAATTTTTATTACTATATCATAATTATTTTTAGTAATGCATTTCTTAATTACTTACTAATTATATTTTTTTATAAATTCTCGTGTCAACAGTAAAGTGGACAAAATTTCTCGGACGGAGGGAGTAATATTTACATGTTTTTAGCGTCAAAGTTATGATCATTTGTTGCATTCATGGTTTGATGACGTGTTTTGATTTCATGTTCGGGTATTTATTTTCTTCTATAATTATATTTATTTTATATTTAGATATACAAACATATGTATGTAGTAATATTTGCAAATTTTCAGTGTTAAGGATATGTCATTTGATGCATTATGGTTTGACGGTGTATCTTGATTTCATGTTTGAAAAGATAGTATTTTCATTTAAATTTTGTTTGAAGTATATTAAATTAAGTTTGTGTTGATTTATGTTGGATTAAATTTGTGTTGAATTGTGTTATATTATCTTGGATTAAGTTTTTGGTGGATCATAGTTTGTTTTGCTTTTATTAAATAATTGTGATTCTGGTTGTTTTAATAAAACAAATGAGAAAAAACAAGCTCGAATGAATATCGAGTCGAACACGAACACAAACACGAACACGATTTCAAAAATTAAAATTTCTTAATGAGCTAAACTCGAAATCTACGAACGAGCTCGAAAACTTAACAACCGTACACAAGCCTTGTTCTTTAGTTAAGCTTAACGAACGAACACGTACACTTAAAATTTTGTTTAACTTGGATCATTAACAGTACTAGTTGAGCTTGAACATTACCTTGTGTTATTGAGGATCCATCATCCTTACCTTATTTATTTAGGCGATTATCCCTCAAATACTTCCATTTAGAAAAAAAAAAAAAAAAAAACTCTATCGCCTCTTGGCTTGCCTAGTGTGATTTACTTTGCTGGTGTAGTTTGCAAGTTATAACACTCAATAGAGAACTTACCCATGCGCATTCGAAAAGTTGTGATTGCATATTCCTTCGCCACCAAAAAATCAAGGGCACATTACTATCTTTATGACTTATCTCGTCTTTGTGGTTTATCTTGCTGACGTAGTTTGCAAGTTATAACAAAAAAAAAAAAAAAAGGAAAAAGACACATTACATTTCATCACCTTTTTTAATATGCTTGAGTTCTTTCATGATCTACAGTTATATTAAACGTAAGCCCAAGAAAAATCCCCTCATTTGGTCGAGAATCAACCAACATATGAAAGTAAGACACATTGAGCTTCTTACATCTTTGGAGCTTATCGGTATTACATCTAAAAGCTATGTATAATTGAAGAGCCAACATAAAAACTTCATACTAAATCCCGAGCGAAGCAGCATTAGGCGGTGTAATATATGTTCACATATTCTGTCCGCACAAAACTCAATCATGTCTAAATGATCGGATCATGTTGCCTAGATTCAACAATTGACTTAACTAAAACAAAAAATTTGAACATGTTGTCTAAATGATCGGATCATGTATGTTCATACCAAATGATCGGATCGTGTTTTTGAACCGTATTTATGTCAGGTCGAACTGTGAATAAAACAAAAAATTTCTCAACTTGAGTACAACCCAAACCTGATTTTCAACCTGAACACGACACAAATTTTTTTGGATCACGTTCAAGTCAACCTAATTTGTTTCAAGTCACCGGATAACCCGAACAAACCCGAAGAATGTGACACAAAACAAAACCGAAAACCTGAAAATTGTAAACTTAAAACTTACCTAAAAAAACCAATAGAAAATAAAACAATATTAACAACATAAACTAGCTGACAAACACATAAACATCAGTAATTCAACATAAATTCAGGCTGAAATAACAACACAACACAAAAACATAAAAACCGCAACAACTTTAAAAAGAGAAGAGTCAGAAGACAAAAACATGCATATTATTTGTTTTTCTCATAATTAAAATATTGTTTATTTTTTATAATTTTAAATTTTTTATATTATTTTATTTTGTAATATAATATAATTTGAAATAAATAAAAAATAATTTTAATTATAAAATCAGGTTACAATGAGATCGAGTTTGAGTTTCAGATTATCCTTTGATTTGATTTGGATATTTTGGATTATCAGATCAACCTGATCCAATCCATTTTTTTTTTTTTTTTTTCATTTCGTGTGCGGGTCTACCTGATTTTTTAAGAACCTGAAAACCCCAACGCGAACCTGAATTTTCAGATTGAAGGGATTGGGTTCTTCGGGTCGGGTTTCAATTTTGACACCCCTAACCAAAACACTCAATCATGTTTGAAGGGCCGTGCTGCCTAGATTCAAGAATCGACTTAACTAAATTTCAGTAATCCATCAACAAAAAAACTCAATCATGTTCAAAGGTTTCATGCTGCCTAAATTCGAGAATCGACTTAACTATATTTCAGTAATACCTAACACAACCTCACCTTCATCAAACCACCAAAAATTTCTTCAATCAAAACTCATCATCATCATCCCAATAAACCAAAAATCTTCAATTATTTTGTTTAATCAAACTGAAATCAAATCCAATCTCCTAATGAACCCTCTCTTCCACAGTTACTACAATACACAATAATCAAACCATAGAAACACTAAACAAAACCAACACAATAAATCACTGGAAAATCGAAGAAACACATATGCACAATATCTTTAACTCAGGCAGTTGATCAATCAAGCAATTCATTGTGATCAAACACAGTATAAGAACACACCTTAAATCAATTTTGAAGATGTTCGATTCAATCTTCAGGCAGGCCAACGCAATCATTTCTCAGACTGTGGCCACACGCTAATTTTCTCTTTCTCATATTTAACGTACATTGCAGAAACCGCAGCCACAAAATACACCTGGATGAAGATGATGGCCGGAGTGTGGTAGTTAATGACTCCCTGACCTGTCGCAAGTTCCACCAGTAGCAGAGCGGATAACCCTAGAATCGCAATCCGGCCGTTGATTCGCTCCGAGTACGAACTGAATCCGAACTCCACGTTCAATCCTTCCGAAACCGCCTCTTTTAACGGTACGGGCGGTAGAAACACGCTCGATTCGGAGGCGACCGCCCCTGTTTTCTTCCCCTTTCGAGCCTTACGAACCTCGGCTTTTTTCCCCGTTCCGCTCTTGTAGCGTCGACGCACCTGCGAGAGGCGATTTTCGAAGGTGTCGCCGTTGTCCGCCTCCGGATCCGGCTCAGATGAAGTGGATGTGGAGGAGGAATCGTCTTCGGCGGCAGCGCGAGGCGGCGCGTGGAGTTTGAGTGTGCGGCGTGGTTGGTGGGAAGTGGAGAATTTTGTGGGGAGATTGGGGAATTGAAGTGTTGAAGAAGGTAGAGTCGCCATTGAAGTGTGATGAGGTGTCAGAAATTAGCGATAAGGTCCCAGTGCTGTGTTGTGCTGTTCTGTGTATCCATCCATAGGCTTTTAAGAGCAATTGCAACGACCGAAATAAAGAGCGGCTTCCTTAAGGGCGTCAGTTAGAGCTGTTATCGATCCGAGCCGAGTCGAGTCGAATCAAATTTTAAGTGTTCGTTAACGTTCGCGAACAAGGCTCGGGCTTGTTCGTTAAGCTTTCGAGCTCGTTCGTAAGGCTCGAGCTCAGCTCGTTAAAAATTTTTGTTGTTTGAGCTCGTGTTCGTGTTCGGCTCGATTAAGCTCGTTCGAGTTCGTTCGAGCTCGTTTGTCTTATTTTTTTTAAACTTATATATAAATTATAAAGAAAATTTAAAATTATTTTATTTATATATTTTAAATTAATATTTTATTTATTTATAAATTATAATTTTATATGTATATATAATAATATTTATAATAAATATATTATTTAAACAAACGTTCACGAACATTCACGAACAAAGCTCGGGCTCGTTCGTTAATCAAACGAGCTTGTTTATGTTGTTCGGCTCGGCTCGTTACGTGCGCGAACGAGCTTTAACCGGACCGAACCGAGCCGAGTTCCGAACAGCTCGTTGGTTTAACAGCTCTAGCGTCAGTATAAATTTAACATATGCAGTGGCTCTTCCATGCAGGATAAACTTTCGGCCGGCCGTCTCCGTGGCTTCGCACAGTGGAGGCCTCGCTACGGGCCAAAATTTCTTCTCTTTTTCTTTTTCTCTCTCCGCGTCACCATCTCTTCCTTTTCTTCCACCAAGTTTGCTCTGTTGGTCTGCGCCAAACTTCTCCAATCTCCTTCAAACTCGAAATTTTTCTGGTAAAGCTTGCGGATCGTCGTTTCTGTCGGTAAGTTTTCAGCAATTTTATTTTATATTTAGGCTTTGATTGAATATTGGTTGCATTGCTTTGATAAATTGAGGATGTTGGGCCTCAAAGCTAGGGCTTTGATTCGAACAAACAGTTTGGTTGCCAAAGCTAGGGCTTTGGTTCGAATAAACATCTTCGTTTCGTTTTTACTTATTGATTGGAATAGGTATAGTGTTTGGGCATTTTTGGGTTGAAAATGTTGTTAATCGATTTGAAATCTTCTAGTTTCGATGTTCCTTCCCACTACTTTTTAGATATTGTTTGATTATTTGTAACTGAAACTTTCGATGTTGTTCTTGTTCAGAAAGCATGTGTCTGTATTAAACTGTGGTTTCCACATTATGGTTTACAGATGTGTTGAAATTTGTGAACATTAGTAGATGAAATGAATTGAAGCCTTTGAATTATTGAGTTTTGATCTGAACAAGTTTGGGATTGCCTTCTTGAATGGAATATCAGTGTATATTCCAAAATTGGTGATCATTGAAGCATCTAGACTATAGATTTTCTAGCTTTGAGATGTGGTGGTTTGAACTTGGAAAGTGAACTTTTATAGTGGACATTTTATTGTAATTTTTAAGTAAATAGCTCGTTATACATGTTTTACACACCAACTGTTTAGGATCTTGTTTAGTAAGTTAGCACGTGCACACGTGTTATTGTTTTATGGTGGCTTAACTTAATGGTGGGCCTAAGTGCAATTGAGACAATTAATAAGGTTTGAGTCAGTTGTCCTCTCCCATGCCTCATTTCTATTTGATATAGTTGATTTATGTTGGATTATCTGGCATTCAACTCTCTAATGTGTTAACTAATTAAAGGTGGATCCAAACATGATTGAATCGAGTATTAGTTTAGACTTTATTGTTCTTTTCTACAGTTTAAGGTATCCTATGCCTACTCTTTAATATTCTTTGCGTTAGGAGATAGACTTTGTGTAGCATACATGGAGGTTGGTTGTGAATAGGTAGGAGCATTCACTACGAGATGTTTAATACAATGTTTTATTAAATTGCTGAGCAGGTCATTTTAAAACTGAATGAACAGTTGCTAACTTTTCTTGTTTTGCATTATTTGTGCATTTAGTCAAACTAAGAGTGGGTCTAGTTTCTTTCATTGGTCTCTTTTATGAAGCTTTAAAGTGCTAATGTAATTCTACTTTGTGTCTTTTTTTTCTCCTCATATTTCTTTGTACTGTTTCAACAGGGTTTTCTTCATATTGATGCATACCCTCCAAATGCCAATCAGGGTTTTGACATTCCATTTGCAGTAGTACACTTCTCTGGTTTCTTTGCAAACATGAGCTTCGCTGATAATTCCTTACAAGTACCCTTATTGTCCAAATTGCAGGTATTGATCAAAGTACCCTGAACCCTTTTTAATGATTTTTAAAGTTCTCTGCATTGACTTAAATAATTTGCATTCCTTACAGGAAGAGATCTCTGTTCTCTCTTGCACGGAAGTACTACTAGTGCCTTTGACAACTCCCGATTTTAGTATGCCTTACAATGTGATAACAATAACATGCACAGTTTTTGCTTTGTACTTTGGATCGCTGCTCAATGCCCTATGGAGACGTGTTGGTGAGGAAGAAAGACTTCTAAGAGGAAAAGGTGAGCCCTTCTTATAAACTGTGTGGCATTCACTTAATTTAATCAAGCATTTGTTTGGCGTGATCTAATCATATTCTTTTTACAGATTGTCATAAACTTTAAATCCATATGTTTTGACAGTTCTCTATGCTTGAATGCAGACATTCTCATAGTATAGTATGAGTTTCACATGAATGCATGAAAAACTATCAGCAGTCCATTAAGTGGATACACTCATTTGTAAAAGATTTATTTATAGTTTAACTGAATATTGAAATGTAAAAGTTAGGTCAAATTATTGCTATTCAATTGTGTGAATGACTTGCATACTTTTTCACCTTCTTGGTCTCATTGCCTGTCCTGATCTACCAAAACTACCTCTGGTTTCATCAGGAAAGAAGGCTGGGCCACTGACTTTGATGTTGTCAAAACTTTTTGCCAAGCTGCAAGGGAAGCCATGGGAGCCACCAAAACCGTCGCAATCACCACCTTCAAAATAAGGTAAGATAATTCCAGGGGGATTATGGTTTTTCTTGTTTTAGTATATTTTGGTGTCTTGTTATTACATATATTGAGACTCAATATTGCATATTTTGATTGTACAGAAACTGTTGGGATGTTTTATTACACGAAGTATATGTGAAAGAATGTAAAAACATTTGTATCTATTGTCATTGGTTGACGTTAAGTTTTTGAATCTTATATTTTCATTACAACTAATGTGTTATGCAGATGTGCACATTTATCAACCAAATTTTACTATTACACTGCGTTGGTCTGCTAAGTACTGTAAGTTTTGCAACCATAAATATGTAGATAGATAGGTGTCCCTTTCTTTCTTCAAATCTTTTGAGTGCATGATCGAAGAATATCTGTTGGAAGTGATTTCTATTTATTATTAGGTGCATGCAGGCTAATGAATGAACAACTGTGGAGGTATGTAATTATGAAAGGAATGGAGCTGCAGGACAATGTTTACTGAGGAACTTTGATTGTCATTGATATGTTGTATCACAATAAATTGTAGTAGGACTTGACAATTGAGAAAAAATGACCTATTTTTATATTGAATTAAAACACTGCAGGAACAATACAGATTTTAAATGGTGGAATGTATATATATATATATATATATATATATTTGTTTCAATGGCAATAAACATGTGCATGCATATATCTCTTTCATGGCATTAATATGATATGAAAAGGGTAAATCAGTGGCTCCATTTTATATTAATTGTATATGTTCTCTTTCATGGCATTAATTACTGATATGAAAAAAGGTAAAGCAACATCTCCATTTTATACAAATTGTATGTGTGTGCAGTGGTTGGTCGTTCTATGATATATATATATATATACATATATATAAACATAGTTACCATTCTCAAGCCAGCCACCCATTGTCATGCAATACACTTATTTGGCCATATTTCAAGCTCCGCATTTTTTAAGCCAGCCACTCCTTCTCATGCAATACACTAATTAAGCCATATTCCAGCCCCTGCATTTTTTAAAGAGGTTCATCGTCGGCCATGGATAGACAACAGGAGCAGGAATCCGATAACTCGAGCGAAGTAGCATATCTCCGGGAAGATCAACTACATGCACAGCATCGTCGCCGCCGGCGTAAGCAATTACTGTTGTTGCAGCAAGAACAACTTCAACGATGGTCGGCAATCTTGCCTGCAATTTTTAACAGCCAAGTAGCGGCAGCTCCAACGAGACGAAATTATATATATAGGGATAGAGAAGGAAGACATGAAGAGTTGTGGTCAGACTATTTATCTGAGATGCCTCGATTTCCTGAGTCATATTTCAGACGAAGGTTTCGAATGCGACGGGAACTGTTTACCAGAATTTTTACAGAGGTATGCAATAACGACCTGTATTTCAGTCAGCAAGTCGACTGCACAAATCGTAGAGGTCTTTCGCCTCTGCAAAAAATTATGGCAGCAGTGCGAATCCTCGCATATGGTTTTTGTTTCGATAGCGTTGATGATGTTATAAAGATAGGAGAAAGTACAGCAAGAGTGGCTATGTTAAAGTTCTGTGAAGCAATTATCAATACTTTTAAGGAACAATATTTGCGTGACCCGACCACCGACGACTTAGCACAACTCTTAGCTAAAAACAAAGAACGTGGATTTCCGGGAATGATAGGCTTTCTGGATTGCATGCACTGACGGTGGGATGCATGCCCTGTGGCGTGGAGAGGCCAATACAATGGGCGCTACGGCTACCCAACATTGATATTAGAGGCAGCTGCTTCCCAAGACCTATGGATATGGCATGCATTTTTTGGAATGCCCGGTACCAATAACGATGTTATAGTTTTGGATTATTCACCCTTGTTCAACAGATACATGGACGAAACAGCGCCGCCGATCGAATATGAGGTGAATGGGAGGCAGTACAACCTCCCATACTACTTGACGGATGGTATATATCCCAAGCATGCAGTTTTCATGCAGGCAATAAGCAATCCTGTTACTACCAAAGAACGAGCGTTTACTACATTGCAAGAAGTTTGTCACAAAGATATCGAAAGAGCATTTGGCGTACTCCAACAAAAATGACGTATTTTGACCATGCCCGCTCGAATGCGAAAGACAAGCGATTTGCTACGTGTAATGACTACGTGTATTATTCTACACAATATGATTGTCGAAGATGAGCGTGGTCACAATCTTCCCGTTTGGACACCACCAATTGAAGAGAATCAAAATTTCCCCGAGCATGAGCAGTCAGTTGAAGATGTTCGTCTCTTATATCGCATCAGGATGGGTAGAATTCGTAATCCTGAAACTAATGTAAGACTACACGATGATCTCATTAATCACCAGTGGATGAGATCGGGTGGGGAAAACATCTAGAGGTATCGTCGTGTCCTGTTCCTTTACCGGATCTCAACAATCAGATAATTTTGTATATATATTTATATATATATATATATCTATCTGGTGTATCCATCAGCCACGTTATTTATTTATGTTGAAGCGGTTTGTATTATGTTTTTTAGTTCTGAATAATTGAATTATCAGTAAAAAGAAATTGTGCAGATGAAATAATTTTCATATAAAAATAGTATATTAAATTAGTAATTAGAAAAAAAATATATGTAATATAATATTTTAAATAAATAATACCTTATATTAATTTAGTATTTTAAATATAAAAAATACAATTAGATACAAAATATGATATTTTACTTATAAATTATATGATTATAAAATAAACTTCTCATCAATATAATTTACTGTATAATTTCATCTATCACAGTAAAATTATACCAACTTTTTATAATAATTTTTTTTTCAATAACTATAATACCTAGAAAAATTACATATATTAAAGTATTCAAATACAACAGAAGATGTAAATAATAACAAACACGTATATTTATTTTTTTGGTCTAACTCCTATTTCCAAATAAATTGTTGCGAGGGATTGTATACTAGCTTGACACCAATCGGTTGGGTAAAACTTAAACCTCTCAAAAGTTTATATATTTACTGCATATACAATAAACACAAATTAGGTCCCAACAACCAGAAGTAAGACCTGCTTCAAAAAACTTTACAGCCTATTCATAAACAAAATTAAGTTAGTTGCTTTACTACTCCTAACTTCTATCTAATATATATACATATATATATATATATATCAAAAGACAGACTCGCCATATTAGTATGTAAACGTATTGGCGTTTCTGCAATGAAACATTGCATTAGTCAAAAGGCAGTAGAATTTAAACGATGGCACCCCCATTCCTGTGTTAAAAGCAACGCACAGTATAAAACAACATGCATACCCTCCCGCGCTATTGGTGTTTCATTTTTCAAGAGAACATTCCGATTCACTAGTGTTGCTGAAAAGTCGTTTCCTATTGGCACAGTGTCTACCACTTATATTCGGCACATCCGCTCTTGTAGGACTTGTTTCGTCAATGGATTGCAACGTTGCTCTCAACCCTGGGAAAGGCAATAATTGAGCAATAAAAAATTCGCAGTTTTTGAAAACACAAAATATAGAGATACATACTCGTGAGTGCGCGCGTGTAATGTTGCACTTGTTCCTTCTGCATTTCATATTGTCTATCTTTGAAGAAAGTGTCCAGATTATCCTTATCCAATTCCTCTAACTTCGCTTCAGCCTCCATTAACCGTTCACTAATGTTGGCAACTTCTATGGCAATATTTGCATATTCTTTATTAATCTTTATTGAATGCTGAAGACATTACAAGACACAACAGTGAGCAAGTGTTAGTTTCACATCAGTAAAGGTATAATTGTATTGAAAATACTAAATCTTAAAATCACCTCCGTTTTTGATCTTTCAGATATGACCCCGTACTCCTCTTCTCGTTGCAAATCTCTTCGACGGTCTTCCTCCTCAAATTTTGACCATCTTTCATTACTTGCAGAATCGATCTTCATCAAACTGGCGGTGATTGATCGAGCAATCGATCCCTGGGACTCCTCATGCTGTTGAATCTGTCGCTGTCGTTGATTCTTTGGCTTGTTGGCAGCCTTGGCCTTCTTGACTCCAATTGGACGTTCCGCATCGATTGCAGCAGGTCCTACTAGCTCTGGTTGAGTGGGGAATGTTGCTGACGAATTAATATTCACAGGTCTCACACATATATTACTGTCTACAGGGGTCAGTGGCGATGGTACTTCAACAGGTCCTTGATCATTTCGTTCGCCAACGTCTTCATTACGCGAAGTGCTCGACCTCTCATTTAATTTGCTCTTCTTGCTGCTACCAAATTCCATCCACTTTGGTTGGTCTTTTAATATGTTCCAGCATGCATCCCATTTGAATTTAGTCCCGTGTCTTTCAGTAAAGGTTGCATGACAAAATTTCTCCTGTAAAAACACACATACATATATAAATGGTTTGAATAAAATTCTTTTTCAATAGAGAGCAATAGAGGAAGTTGAAAATAAACCTACAAAATCTAATGCGCTCCAACCGCTCCGATAATGTGATTGTGCCTGAACCCGGATGGCAGACCATTTAGTACATTTATTTTGAATTTCTGACCACCGATTCTCACACCCTCCTGCTGTTCTCTTATTTTATAATTTACTGACTCCATGTTTTTCTTCCATAAGTACGACAAAAGTCTCGCAGATACGCTCCCACAGCCGTTGTCTCTTTTGTCCAACCCCAACTCTTGCATCTGTCGACACGTTACACCATGCTATGGCCAACTCTACATCCTCATCCAAGCTCCAATTCTTATTTGCACGTTGGTGTGGTTCAGCAACCCTTACACTGGGCTGTATTTGTGAAGGAACTTGACACGGTACCAATGGATAATTAGAATTGAAGGGTGATGTGTTTGCTTGTGATACTTGTGTCTCATGATAAGGAGTCGGAGCTGAACCCCCGGGTGGTATAAAGTTCCACATATTTGGGTATAACCTGGGATCGCTTTGATGGGGGTAGTATTGGAAAGGAGAGAAAGGACCACTAAAACTCATATTACATTGGCTCGGAAAAGCATATTGATGTGAAGGTAGAGTTGGGGTATGGTCGGTACACGGAGATGTGTTACTTGCCTCGACTGGGGCCTTCTCACTTGTTTGAGATGAATCAACTAAATCAACCACCTGATCAACTCTCTTCCCGGAAAGTTTGTCTGTCATGACTGTATTCTGTGGAAATTGTAGGATAAGAACTTATTTTTAATATAGCACACATAAATGACAAAACACAAGTGAAACTAGGTGAATTGTGCAAGGTTAAGATATATAATTAGCAACGAAATTCAACAAATTGACATGAAGATAACATAATTCAACCAATTGACATGCAATTCTTGGATCCTATGAGCAATGCTAAAAATCATACTTACCGTCAAATGTTGAAAACCATACCCGAAAACTTTCACTAAGAAATATCTCAAGTGACTTATCGAAAGTACATGCATTAAGCCAATACCTCATAGCTAAAAACCTTTTCCCATCTAGACATTATCTCATAACTTAATAAGAATTGCATATTTTATGCATTAAAATTTACTTATAAGATGTGATACAACTTATTCACAATATAACAACAAAAGCATCAATTGTGATAATGTAATTTAGCATGAGATTTTCAAGTTGCATAGGACACATTAGGCCAGTATGAAACATAATTTATCACTCAGAATATATACATCAAATATAGGTTGTTTCCTCGTTAAGTAATGAACTGAAAACAGTCAGGACAATCTAAGTGAAAACATTAAATACATTTAATTGACTTCAATAATCCAATTTGGGTACAAAGTTACCTGGTTCGAGTTCTGGAAAAACCACTACGGATATTGTAGATTTGGTTTACAGTGAAAAGGATACATAATAGACAAGAAAAGCCAACAAAACATCATAGTCATAATCAGGTTAAGGTGAAAACTTAATGAAGCATATCTTTAATGAAGCAAGAAACTGTAAAATCGCATATCCAAAAAATGAAGCAGTCCAAAAAATACATATCTCAATTGCGTACCCAAAAAATGTAGTGAATATAGCATATCTCAATCGCATATCTTGATGAAGCATAAAAAATAAAGCATATCTGAAAATCACATATCTCAATCGCAAATTACATTCTAATATGCAGAAAATTGTAAAATCCATCCAACTTAGTAACAAACACTACCAAATTTGTATGGACAGATTGCAGAGATACTGACGAAGAAGGGGAAAATATAGTTTCACCACACTGACTGAAAATCAAATCAAATCCACAATCGAGTTCAAAATTAAAGAGAAAGTTGAAGCTTACCTCCATCAGCGGCAATCCTTATTTATCAACAATAAAACCTCCACCTCCCTTGTTTATCCCATACGAGCATATTGAGGAAGAAGAGAAACGAAATCGAAACCGGAGAGAGAGTACCGAAGGAGCGATTTTTTGGTAGGGTTTTGGAAGAAGAGGAAAGGGGTGATGTGTTTTTCTCTCTCTCTTCGTACCTGTAAAATAAGGTTGTTGGATGGATTTAATAAAATACTCAATTGCAAGTATTTATGGGCATTGACACGTAGACCTTAAGAAGCAATTTTTTTAATTGGCGTTGCAATTGCTCCAAGGGTCTTCCTACTTGCATCGACGCCCGCCGCAACAATTCAACCAATTAAAGTATATTTTGGTTAGGTATCCTTTTAATTTGGTTTAATTTTCTTTTATATCTAATTTTTTTAGGTTTTTTATAAAAAATTATCTTTACTCAAAATATTTTTATTCTAGAAATCATTTAAAATTGAGCTAACTGTTCTCCAATTTTGACTATTTTAAAATGGGCTATACAATATTAGGCGTCGTTTTGAGCTTGTTCCAATGAATATTTTGGCAAGTGTAAATCACAAGTTAAAAAATCATATCAATTTTAGCCCTAAATAATTTAAAGATTACAAAATACTATTGTTGCTTGAATTACTTTTTTCGAGCCTGTGGAAAATCAATGGATTCTTCGGCTTCCTATAATAACTATGTCGAATGTACCGAAATGATGTGTGAAATAGATTGGGCATCAACAATTTAGAAAATATTAGTATTATATTATAATGTAGTATGAATAAAGTAGAAATTATTAAAATAACCTTATTAGTATTGTGTGATATAAAGGTAATCACATTTGTGTAATATCTTGTAAGTTGTAAGGGTATTTGTAATGTTAGGTAGATAGTACAATTACTAAAAAAAAATAGATACTTTGTTATGGGACGGAGGAAGTATTTTTAATTTCATGAAAAATTCCTAAAAACAGACAAACATCTTCCACTTGGCTTCAGTCAAATTCAGTTGGCACGTAATGAAATCCAACATTAATATCAACATATCTAGAAACAAGTCTTTACATTATAAAGTTGAAGCTAACATCATATATGTTTCATTCCATCGTGTTGGATAAGAAATAACTTATTTGGAGACAAAGAGAGTTGCTTTTTTTTTTATCTTGGTTAAATTCAATTGAGTGTAAGTTACTTTGGTCGGTCAATATTTGGTTAACCCATTGGTCAATGTTGGTCAACACAATAAAAATTTTTTACATTTGGTGTCCAATTGCTATACAATTCACTTATCTATCAAATTGCTTTCAATTTTTTGATCAAATTTTTTATTTGGTATTCAATAACATATCCGAAATTTCTGCCGATTAAAATTTAATTTTTTTAGATTTTGATTTGATGCTGCCACAGCTGCGACAACGAATCGAATCGTGACTATTAAAAACCCTAATTTAGTCAAAATTTTAATTAACTAAAATTAGTATTTTTGCAATAGAGGATCGCGGTACCAGGATTCAGTCATAAGGCACATAATGTGCATTAATTCGCCGCCTTCAATTGGATGAAATAGATGGATGAATAATAGTTAATGGAATTATAACACACTAAAATAGTGATGTGTTTGTTTCACTGTTCACACCAATTTTTTTTCTTAAAAACATCAAATCAAATACCTGCTTTTGATTTTTTATATTATACTAAAAATCAATTATAAATTCAAAATATCGTATCAATACTTATTTATATCACTTTATACAACTATTCTAATTCAAATTTTTTTAAATTCAAACCGTTCCAAAATTCAAACTTCCAAACAAACACACGGGATTATGGATGTTATTGGACATGGCCTATATATTTAGATTTAGCTTCCAATAAGGTTTTTTGGTTTTTTTCTATTATTTATTAGGCTGTTGTTACATTGTTCAATTATAAAATTCATCGGCAGTACACGATATAAGAGCAAAACACATCATTCATAACTTATCTTTTATATATATATATATATATTTATATTTGAGCTCATTGTGACCCCACCACAATGAAAAGCAAGAATTTCTAGGGGTTTTGAATTTCTTTTAAAAAAATTTGATTGGGTGAAAGATTTGATTGGTTATGAATTTTCAACAATTATGATTTTTGTAGAAAAAAAATTTTGATTGGCTATTACTTTAATATGGACCAATATATTTTTTTATTTTATGTCATATAATGTGTATATAATTTATATTTTTTTTTTTAATAATAAGAGTATAATATTAATTTCTAATAATTTTTTATATGTAATATATGAAAGATTTGATTGGTTAGGAATTTTGAACAATTTTAAATTATTTTTTATTAAATTTTCATTAGTGGTTGAATTTGATTAGTTATTATATAAATGTAGGCCAATATATTTTTTTGTCATATAATATAATATATGTATATGTTTTATATTTTTATTTTAATATATATATGAAGGATTTATAATAAGAGTATAATATTAATTTTTAATAAATTTTTATACATATATATATTAACAAGGTGCAATTTAAATATAATAATTATTTATTTTTATTGATTATTTGATAGAATCATTTTTTATTAATAAACTTAAATAATTTTAAAATTAAATTTATTATTTATTTTGAATTTTTTTTAAATTTTAACAATTTATTTTTGTTATTAATTGATCATTAAAATATTTTAAGACATAGTATTAATATTTCGCATAATATGCAATTATTGTTTTAATTAGTATTAAATGCATACTATATATATATATATAGATGCATTAAATTTATTTTATTATCTAATTAATTTATTTAAGAAATACATTTTGTTCAAATATGATATTAAATTCAATAATTTTATTAATTGCTATTTAAATTTTATAAGTGTTCTAATTTATATCACTTATATTTCTTTCACTGATTTTTCATCTAGCCAATGAGACTGTTTATTTTTTCAATACACATTTCTATGTCCTCATCTTCTATTTAAGAGAATTATTAGTCCCTCAATTAAAATTTGTCTTCAATTTATTAAGAAATAATTTATTTTTTTTTTGCAACAATTACAATGCTACACAACATCGCCCAAGAGATGGAGAAGAAAAAAATTGAAGATGGAAGAAGAAAGAAGAAAGAAATTGAAGATGGAAGAGGACGGTGGCTGGGTAAGGAGAAAAATAATATTAACAAGTTATTGCTATACAATCCATAGCAACTATGAAAATTAGAAACGAACTGTGATTATTTGTAAGGTTTTCACGAAATTTTGAAAATTATAATTATAAAAATTCTGCAGTTATACTTTAGGAACAAATAAACATCTGCTTGCACAGTTTTATTTTGGCAGACACTTTAAAATGAAATTTCCATTTACAAGTTTTTATTCCAGAAGATGTTGCTAATTGAAAAAAAAAAAAGAGTAGACCTCATCTTCGGGTGAAAGGTGGCAGCTGACTGAGAAAGGTGAAATAAGAGGGAAAGGGGAAAAAGAATTCAAAAAGAGAAGAAAGAAACAACTAAAAATAATGAATGAATAAGAAGAAAGAGAAAGAGAAAGAGAGATGAGGAAGGGAGAAGAAGGAAGAGAGTGGAGGAGAGGTGGCTGCTGGCGAATAGGGTTTGTTTACTTATTTTTGCGAAGGGGAAAAAGAATTTAATTGTACTCCCTCTGTCCCAACATAATTGACATTATTTTTATTTTTGTCTGTCCCGTAACAATTGATATCTTTTTATTTTTGGTAAAAATTATTAAATCAAAATATATTTAACAAATATAAATCAACTTAATTAACTACATAACATACAACATTATAAATGACGTAGGACCTACTCAAAACCCCTTTATTTCTACCTCTCTCCTCAAAAAAATAAATATTTTTATCTATATTTAAAACTAAACATCTTTTATAAAATTGATTTATGTTAATTATAAATAAACAAAAATATTTTTTTATTTACTTGTATTATAGAAGATTTTATTCTTTACAAAATGATATCCATATTGCATATATTTTTTAATTGCTATATAATTTTTAAATATTTAAATATATATTTTAATTTTTTTAATCATATATATTAAATTTACTTTAAAACTATAAATATTATTAATTATACAAAAAATAATATAATAATATCATAAATAACTATTATTAACTAATTAAATATCTCCACCTTAAATACCGTGTCCCTAATCAAAAGGTTCAATTCCGGTGGGACGGAGGGAGTATTTACTTTTATAGATTAAATTTTTTTTATTGTAAAAAGTTCATATATTTACTTTTAAATTTTTTATGTGATATTTAATTTAACAACATAATATTTTATTTATTTATTTATTTTTATCTTATATCATTTGAGTTCATTCTAAATTATAATATAAGATTTGAATTATAAGGTATTTTGAATATTTTTTTATTTTTTTGATTTGGTGAAATAATTGATTGGTTATTATAGATATAAACATATGTATGCCAATATATCTTTGTATTTATTCATTACTAGCGGAAAGCGGTGCGTAGCACGGTGTAATCAACGAAAAAAATTTGCAATGTATATGTACTTTTGTCATTTATTTCAAAATACATTATTCAAATTTTTTATGAATTTTATGTTTTATTTTCAAATATTTTAATAGTTTCATAATTTTAAGAATAAAACTTTCTTGTAAAAAAAAGATTATTAATAAATAACAATGACTAAAATTTTTAATGAACACAAATAAAATAATCTATTCAAATTTATAAGAATAATGTTAAAACTACATTATCATAAAATTAAACAAACATGAATTAAATAAAATATGAAATAGTAACATCTTCAAGCATATATTTTTCAAATATATTAACACACTTATTTTTATAAAATTAAAATAAATATCTAAAAACATTAATATACATCAAATTAAATAAATAAGTTGTTTCTAAAACATTAATATATATACATGAAATATTAATAATAATTAAAAACATATACACAATACATATTTTTATAAATCCTAATATTATTTTGTTGAATGGAATTCAAAAAAAAAAAAAAAAAAAGACTTGATTGGATATACTATTATACTACTTACACTTACATATATAATACTTTTACTTATTAAATAAAAAACAATATTTAATTTTATGATGATAGATCTATAAATAAAAATTAATAACTTATTAAATTTTATTGTGACTTTTTTTAAAATATATATAAGTACAATTACATTACATACAAAAAATAAAAAGATTAAAGATACAATTACATTACATACAAACTTTTTATATATGGTAAAATAAATATATTGTATAGGTATGAAACAAACAATTTTTAAAATATACATGCAATAATTATTATAAATAACTTAGAATTGTAATACCCAATCAAATATCAAAATCAATCAAAATAAAAAAAATAAATATATATATACACAAAACTGTTTAAATTTTAAGCTTTACATTTAGTGAGACTTCTAACTGCAGCCTGCAGAAATTCGACAGTGACGGCGACTTTTAATAACTACAATACAGACATTAAAACTAAAGAGAGATAGAAACTTAAAAAATGAATATAATTTTTTTAATTGCATGTATATATAAAAAAGATAAACATTGCATTGTAAAAGTAAAAAGTTGGGTGGAGCACAAAAAGACTGCTTGGAAGCTGCAACAGTCACAATTACTTTAATTACTACTTTTAAATATAAAAATATATGTATAAAAAATAAAATACAAATTTTTATGTATTTATAAATAAATATACTTACACTTTAGTAATAGTTATTACTATTGTTTAATTACGCTACAAAAATTATAGTATCCTTTAATATATACAAATAAAAATAAATAAATATAAATACTAATTGTAATCGTAAAGTAATATATGGAGTATATATCTTATATTTACATAATAATATAAATTTCTTAATATATATGTATTTAAATTGCACAATTTTTATGATTGTATTTAATAAAATATCGTATAATTTCTTATTATTTAAATTACATAATATTTCTTATAAATTTGAATAGATTATTTTATATGTGTTCATTACAAATTTTAGTAATTGTTATTTATTAATTATCATTTTTTTTATAAGAAAGTTTTATTTTTAAAATTATGAAGCTATTAAAATATTTGAAAATAAAATATAAAATTCATAAAAATTTTGAATAGTGTATTCTAAAATAAATGACAAAAGTTCATATACAATGCAAATATTTTTCCGTGCTTAATATAATAAAAATACAATAGTCAGCATATAACCTAATTCCACACCACACAAGCTATCATCGAAATATATTCATGCGGCACACCTACAACTGTAAACCGAATATTTTATCTACCAAGGGAATTGTACTAAGGACAGTTTCTTAACCATATTTCTTTCAAAAAAAAAAAAGAAAAATCATTATCATAGACAATGCTACTTCAACTGGATCAATCAACACTTAAACTGTGCTATGTCATTTTTGCCTAGATTCAACATGCTAAATTGATTGAGAACCTCAAGAACTTAATCCTAAACCCAAAATTCTGAACTAATAATTAGGCTGAATTCCTTGCAAGAATTAGAACTCATAATCAATGGAGGATGCTAAAGACCTTACTAATTAAACAGCAAAGAAACATGTATCAGATTACAATATGTAGTTTGGATTAAAAGAAATTTGATGAATGATCATTACAAATTTTGAATTTTCCCTTCTACAAAAACGAGCAAACAAAAATTAGATTAAATCAATTTTAGATTCTGAAAATTAAGACATATGGAGCATGAGTAAAATAGATATTATATCTATATATAATTTGATGACAAAATGGAATTGAATTTCCAATTACCATAAAGGCTCATTCACTGATGTACTCTAGACAAGTAACACTGCATTAATGCACCCATCATTCTCCGGATTGTTTGTGACTTGAGCATATTTTCCTGCAATATATATATATATATATGTATATATATTGCTATCCAACATAAGAAACTTCTCTTGCAAATTTAGCCAAGAACAACAATAGTTGAAAAGTTCGACGTACCCCAGACCACTTTTCCAGCAGGTGTGACCAGACCTAACTCACTAACATTCACCTGAATAAATGCACATAAAATCATAATATAGATGATCGTAATCTAACCAGAAACATTGCAGATGAAACTTGTAAGAAATGATTGGTTACCTCAATTATTGTTCCTTTGGTCATTACACCAAGAGATGTGTACATAGGACCATTGGGATTTTTCTTTACACCGATGATCTCTAAGTTGAACGTACATTTGAGCTCTGGATGGGTCACATGAGCTTTTGTAAATCGCAACCCTGATGGGCGGATGAATCTCTCGTATTTGGGTGGCTTCCGGGTGAAACTTGGTCCCACAAATGTAGCCTTGGTGATCATCCTCTTCCACTGCTTAGCTGCCAAAATTGAAATTCCAAATAAAAACTCGGGCACAAATGAGGGAATATGGATGTATAGAAATTTTAGCAATATCCAACACGGAAAATAGTTAATTACAAAACCAGGACGACTTCGTGTAATGCAAATACTTACTCTTTCGTTTTCCAGATCTGATCACCCTAAACATCTCATCCTCAGCAACAGGCCTAACCTGTACAGTAAACAGTCATTGCATTTTTTATGCTGGGTTTCAAAAAATATAAACCAAGCTCGGTCAAAGTAATAATAAAAGTAAATTACAATGTGTTTATAACAGTATTCAAAGCACCAAGAAGTTCTTTTTAAGGAATACTGAGAAATTGTTGGATGCACCATTACTAACACAACAATGGCATCAACAGATCATCAAACATAGCACCACTCGAGCAATAACGATATAATTTCAATATGTTGGTTAATTTAAGAGGGTCTCAACTCCCCAAGTCAAGATATAATCCCTAACTCAATGAGTCTTAAAGCATCAAGCGAGATTAGCAACATGGCTTACTTTTGGTAAAGGCACCTCCCATTTCCCTGCTTTCTCTTTCCTCTTTTGCTTTATGGTGTTGCTAAGTACCTGCACGCATAAGGATGTTTTCCATTAACGTTGATGGCATACTAAAACGGGATACATTTTTTGTTCTGAGTTCAACCACATAGATAACACTACCTTTGCTCTGGTTGTCTCGTCACGATCAAGAAGATATGCAGGGATAGCACCATCATGAACTTTATCATCAACTTTGCGTCTTGATGACGACTCCTCATGCATTTTCAATCTAGAAATACAACCCAATACTTAAATCAGTGATACCACATTGGCATCTTCATTACTTCATACATCCAAGATATAGATATTTAACAATAGCAATAAATGAGTCTTTTCTAACTTTGCAGGTAAATGCATGCTAGGAGCTACTAAATAACTCTGTTGTATGGATATCTTCTTGAAGATGTTAATAGGGTGTGTCCAAATCCAGTCTAAATTCCTCAGGTCATGAAAAATCTGTATTGAAAACTTTTCAGGGAGTATAGGTTGGCAATATATAATTTTTCTTATTTTATAAAAAAGAAACTGCATATAAATATATATACAATTTAGGTACTCATAATAGCTAACAACCCTAATGTTGGGCAAATATCAACAAAGAAATGTTGAAACTAGTTCAACTACAGCTTAGAGCTAAGTATACTGATAACGATGGTCTCCATCAGCCCTCCATGCATTGTAAAGATAATCTTACGCATTATTATCGGTCACGATTAAGTTCTTCCAATGATAATAATCTATAAGGCTTTACAATATGCACATCAACTTAATAATATCACTTCAGCTACACAATTCCAATCCTCCCAACAACGGGAAATCTTGTCATCTCACTTTTCAGAGAAAAAAAAAATATATGTTAAACACAAAACAGGATTAGCCACAGAAATCTTACGTTTTCTTCATTTGAGCCTTTTCAGTGTACCGCTTTTTAGCAAACAACTTACCCTTTATGCCAAGGGCCTGTACAAAACAAAACTCCAACCATGAATTCTGAAACATATACCTCCCGCACAGGCAAAATTAAGCAAAATAAAATAATCAATGGAATCAAAATCAAAAGAAAACAGATAACCTTCTGCGCGATCTGAGAGCGCTTATGCACTTCACGCGCCTCCTTCTTGCGTTTGCGCTCGAAGTGGTCATGGCGGTAGCCATGCCTCTTCCTGTGCAACTCTATGTAATCTCCTTGAGGCTGTCAAGTTTACCACCACCACCACCACCAATCAGAATTCCAGAACAACAAATGCATAAAAACAAAAGCCTTTCCATAACTACTCTTGCAGAATTACAGGGAATTAGTTCAAAAAATACCATCGTGAATCGATTGTCGGAACCTCCACCAGTCGCTGAAAATCCAAAACCCTAGCTTTCTCAGACAAGGCGTCTATCTGCAGATTAGGGCGATTAGGGCGGGCTGGCTGAAGAGGCGAAGAAGAAGAAGAAGAAGAAAGAGGAAGAAGAAGAAGAATTGGAGAAGAAAGGAAAGAAACGGTGAAGGTGAAGAAAAGAAGAAAGAGGAAGAACCTGGTGGCTGCCTTGGCTAGTGCGGCTGCGTCTGCTGTGGCGTGGGTGGGTGTGTAAAATGATTTATTAGGTCTAGGGTCAGACTTGCCCATTCGGTTTCGAACCGACGGTTCGAACCGTCGGTTATGGTTCAGACCGCGGCCAAACCGAACCGAAACCGTCATTCTGACGCTTCGGTTTCGGTTTGTGATTTTTTCGAACCGGGAATCGCCGGTTTACGGTTTGAACCGGCGGTTTACCTTTTTTTTAGAAAAAAAAAAAAAAATCTCTCCTGCGCAGGCGCAGAGCCGCAGAGCGCAGAAGAAGAAGAGGAGGAGGAGGAGGAAGGAGAAGGAAAGGAGGAGGAGGAGAAGAAGAGAAGAAAGAGGAGAGGAGGAAAGAAGAAAGAAAGAGAAAACCTAGCCGTGCGGCGGCGGCTGTAGTTGTGATGTGTAAATATTGATTAGGTTAAAATTTAAAATTATGTGTATTGTATAATAATAATAATAATGATGATATATTTAAAATTAATTCTTTTAATAAATTAGTAAATTTTTATAAAAATAAAAAATAATATTAATAATATAAATGATTATTAATATATTAAAAAATAATAATATTATAATATTATTTTTTTATTATATAATTATATTTAATTTAAATTACTGTATTTTATTATTCATTATAATTTACATCAATATTTTTATAAAATTTAAAATTTAATTTAATTATTAACTAAATTTATTATTTTAATTGTTTTTATATTATAATAATTTAATTAATTATCTATATATACAATTTTTACATAATAAATATATGTAAATAAAATTAAAATCGAATTTAATTATTTCAAATAAAATTTAAATATAAAAAAAATAGAAAATATAAAAATATATATATAAAAAATGAATGTATATAAACCGGCGGTTCAAATTGTAATAGGCGGTTTCTAAACCGTAATCGAAACCGTCAAACCGTAATCAAAACCGTTATTCAGAAGGTTCGGTTTCAATTTGATATTTTGACAAATCGTAACCGACGGTTTAAACCATTTGAGCAAAGTCTACTTAGGGTATTAGGATTTTGGGCAAATTTGTATGTTTTAAAATTATAATAATATGTTTAACTTAAATTTTTTATATATTATCAATTTTTTTATTAAATAAAAATTATTAATAATATTAAAAAATACTAATATTAATACTAATACTATAATATTATTTTTTATTTATATTTTGTAATTTTAAATTATATTATCAATATTTTTATAATTTATTTGTATTTTTAAAATTTATAATTTAATTGCTTATTAAATTTATCAATATATACATAAAATAATAATTGCATTTATATTTTTTTACTAATATTAAATTTTAAAAAATTAAAAAATAATTATTATATAGGCTTTTAAATAGGCTCGTAGGCTATATAGGCTCAAAAATAAGCCAGACTCAGGCTGTATTATTTTTTTATTACAGGCTAATAGGCCAAACTCAATCCTTAGCTTTTCAGAATAGGTCTAGCCTGTTCGTCATACTTGAATATTTAATTACAATTTTATTCGATTTAGAAAATTGTGTGTTTGTTTTATATTTTGATTTGAAGGAATATTTTTTGATGAGAAGAAATAGGGAATTATATATTCTGTTTGTTTCAAAATAATAGGGACATTTAAAATTGGTATGAGAATTAAGGAATAATAATGCTATTATATTGATATTGATAGTGGGTGTAAAAATTTGTTACCAAAAATGGAAATTAGACTATTGTTTTGAAACAGACGAAAATGGTAAAACTAGACTATTATTTTGGAACGAATGGAATATATAATATAAAAATAATAAATGTATATAATATATTATTTTTAGAAAAATCTTTTAAAAAGATTTTTTTTTGAAAAAAATAAAATGGAATTAATTTAAGGGTGTATTTGGTTGGGGTTTGGATTTTGGCTACTAAAACTTTCGAATTTGAATAATAGTATAATGCGATATAAATAAGAATTGATATGACGTCTTCAATGTAAAAATTAATTTTTAGTATAATATAAAAAGAAAAAAAATATTTGATTTGATATTTTTGAAGAAAATTTTGTAGGAATAATAAACATTCCACAAAATTTTTCAAACAAACACACCCATATATTAGTAAACATCCTACAAATTCTTTCAAACAAAGACACCAGTATATGTATGTTGGAAAAATCAACTATGTAAAATATATGTATGCGACTTTATCCACAATAAAAGAAAAGAATGGGCTCAACCTAGTAGCATACCTTTGCCCCAATAATTCCATATATTAAATTTGAAATGATAATATTTCAAAATACACTAAAAAAATTTATATTTTATTCATCCTATTACTGCACAAAAATTGCAGTCAATGAAAACAGACAAAAATTGATGTATAATGAAATTTGGAGTTTGACAAAAAAATTAAGTAACCACCGAGATAACGAGTCCCCTCCGATCAATCTTATCTTTATCCCAAAAAGAAAAAAAAAAAAAAAGCAAAATCTTTTCTTGATTTTTAGTTTCAGTTTTTTTGCTTATTTGATCCTATGGATCAAGACTTTTTAGACCAAAATGGAATTTTAGGCTTAATAATCCTAAGATTACGTTACAATTTATTAATTTAAATGGATAAGATGAAATTATAAGTTTTTTTAAAGAGTCTGGACAGATAGAACAATATTTTATTGGTTATTAAAACTATATAAAATGATTACAATATTTTTACATTTGTAAGTATAAAGAAAAATAATAATTTTATTAAAAAAAAATGAATATTTTGATATTTATATATGAATAATTTTATTATAATAAAAAAATAAATAATTTCGAGTGATACATCTTACCTTTTTAATTAATAAGTGTAAATATTCTATTTGTTTTTCTTAATTTTATCTATTGTCCATCACTTTGTCTTTTTGTTTCTGTGTGTTTGTGTTTTTTTTTTTTTTTTTCTTCTAAATTTAAGGTTTTTTAAAAGATTTTTTGGGATGACCCAATTTTGCTAGCATTTTGAAATCGCTACGAGTCTTAGGCTAAGAACAAGAAACAGTTCATCAAATAAAGAGAGATCTACCATTCATGCATTGATTAGTAAATTATATAGTTGTATGTTTTTCTAATGTTTATAATTTATGAAATAAATGTAACTATCAATCAGATTAAATATATATTAATAAATTAATTAATTTATTAGGCTCAAATGTATTTAGTAAATGCGGACCGACAACTTATTAATTGGCTGATGAAACCAATTAATAATAAGGGATATAAATAGGGTTTTAATTGAGTGATGAAACCAATTAATAATAAGAGATATAAATAGGGTTGTGATCCAGATCTAGACGCAACAACCATTACGTCCATATCTCACGAACACAAAACTCTCCATCGATTTGCAGATCCGAATCCGACTATGACAAGATAAATTTTGGGCTTAGGATGCAATTCTTGATATTGATATCAGAGTCCTTCCGTGTTGAATTATTGAAATATGTTATTAGATAGATTGATGTTTAATTGGTCTGATCAATCCATGCAAGATAAAAGGAATTATTTAATTTTCGGATCGATCAATTGGGATGTCGATTTTGACTCTCTTTCATCCCATAGAGTAATGGTTTAATAAAGTTTAATTAATTGGGCATTTGAGAAAATTTGCATGAATCTATGCCGTTGTTTGTTTATTCGTAATTATTTATTATTTTTTCTAAAGTAATTTTTAGAATTAAAAATCATTACTACACTTCATGAATCACGCATGCTACTTCTGTCAAAGTAACCTTCATATGTTGGGAATGTAATCCTCTATTCTCTCACAGGTGTGTTCTTCTGGCGATTTGCCCATATTTCTATTATTTATTTATTTTTTTTTTTCAAAAATATCAAATCAAAATCTATTTTTTATTTTTTATATTATACTAAAAATTAATTTTACATTTAAAATATTACATCAACACCTATTTATATTACATCATATAACTATTCCAATTCAAAAATTTTACTATTTAAATCACAGTTCAAAATTCAAATCTTCAAACAAACACAGTAAAAGTACACACATATTTTGTCTCTTTTATATATCTCTTTCTCTTCCTAACAAAAAAAATAAAATAAAATTATATATATGTATATTTCTCTTTTTTCCATGGACACGTACAACTCAAGATCAGAATAGATAGAATAGATGACTTTTTCAATAAAGGATTAAGTTTGTTTTTTTTTTTTTTTTATTGAGCTTAAAAAAAATTGATTTAAATTTAATATTAAAATAATGTTTTGATGAGATATTTTGTAAAAAAAATATATATATAATTTTTTTTCAGAGAAATGATGCAGAATCTAAATAGTAAAATTTGAAAAAATTTACTAAGGGTGTGTTCATTTGTAGGATTTAGACAAAATCCTACTATTCATCCAAAATTTTCCTCCAAAAACATCAAATCAAACACCTATTTTTTATTTTTTATATTATATTAAAAATCAATTTTACATTCAAAACATCAAATCAACACCTGTTTATATCAGGTCAAATTAAAAAATTTTACTATTCAAATCCCAACTAAAAATCCAAACTCCCAACCAAACACACCCTTAAAAGAAACATACCCATTGTCTTTGCTCTTATGTACTGCAAAAGTAGAATGGTGGGGTGTTCAGAGGGAATATAGGTCTAAAACTAGAGATTTTAAATTGCTTTGGGCATAAAATTCATCCCAAGTCTGCAAACCAAACACAACCCCTATGTTTCACCAGAAAATTTTTCTTTTTTTTATAAAAAAATATGTAATAAATAGGCTTATTCACTGTGTTTTTAGATAAAAGTATTTTTTATGTTTGATATTCAAAATTACATTGGTAACATATAAAATAATATTTTATTTTGAATTTATTAACATTTTCTAAAAAAATAAAATATATATTATACATATTATATTAATATCTATATATATTATATATTTTTTAATAACATTCATTAAAAACTGTTCCACTTGAAAATACTAGTGAGAAGAATGAACATACAACAATCACAGATATTCACACACATTATTCCAAAATAGAAAATAGACACACCAAAACTGGAAATTTTGATTAAATAAGTATCACATAAATTCACACTCACTATTCCAAAAATCACATAAATTCACACTTCTAAATAAATGCATATGAAATATTCTCACCGTCAAATCAGAAAGTATATATATTTCTATTTTAAATTGTCAAATTTCAAAGTAATCATTTCATTACATACCTACTTTTTTCTACAAATGCCCTCACTTTATCATCCCATTATTACTTTTTACACCAAAAAACCAAAAGCAAAATTATCTTTATAGTACTTTTAACTATCCACTACAACTAAAATATTATTCTGCCCTAAAAGTAAATGTATATACTTATTAGCCAATTTTATTTCATACTTATATTTTATGAACATTTATTCTTTAATTAAAATACCACAATCCATTCTTAGCAAAGTCTCGGGACTCTCGACATCACAACAAACACTTAAAGAGTACAGAAAATAGTCCATCAACAACAACGAAAAGAACTCTCCAGAAACAACAGCAATTCAACTGAGAAGACAACGTTCACCTGGCCCGGCAGACGGGATAACTCAAAGATACTTCACCATGCCACGCCCCTCCACGCTCAGTTTTGTGGCCTGTAGTTGCTTACGTTTTGGCGCTTTCAATTGCTGCAACTTCTTGTTCATCTGTAAATGTAAATACCGCAAAGGAAATAAACAATGGATCAATTTCTGCAGCACAATTTAACCCAATATAAAAATCACGATCATCAAGAAACGGGCATAAACTAAACCACCCACCTTTGCCCGGCGCTGGTCCTGCGCCATTTGTTTAGCTCTGGCCCTAATAGCTTCTGGGTCGACCTTGGATTGTGGGCGAACCACAAAATCCATTGACATAGCTTCTGGCCTCGAGGCATGCTGCCTGGAAGATGACTGGCCAGATTTCGAGCTCCTGTAGATTTGGCCAATTGGATATTAAAATTAGACAACATAGTTAATTAAAATAAATTAAGTTTTGTATGAGGGAGAAATTTTTACTGTGAATATCCAGCTAAATCAAGGTCATCATCACGAGACGACATTCCAGCTCCTTTATTCATGGCCCTGTAATAAGTTAAGAATATTCACTGCAGATTAATTTCTCGAAGAATAAAGAATATTCAAGCACGTTCTTCTCTCAGAATTTTAAGCATACTTTTTAGCAGAAGGCCTCTTGAATGGCCTTTCCTCCTCAAAGTTTTTCATGTCCTCAAACCTGGTGCTCTTATTGAATATGGGTCGGCTCTGTATAAAAACCATGATGAAATATAAGGCGATACATAGGAATCAATTGTACAAAATCTGAACCTTTATATTTCCAAATGCAACATTTCAGTCACAATTAAACATATTAAGTGCTGAATCTAACAGAAGATGGAAAAAATGGCTAATTAATGTACCCATTTATCAACCAATTCCTTAGCCAGTTTGCGATTGCTGGTAGTTTCCTCTTCCGACTTTGACAAGAACATAATCACCTGACGCCGATAATAACTCAGTCATAAGAAATCAGTATTCCAATTGCTACATAAAATTTGAAAGGAACAAACAAGAGTGTCCACATGACCACAGCAACATTAAGAAACTTTTCACCTTTCCAAGGCCACTCTTCTTTAACTGTTCTCTACGATCATATTGCTCTAGATCAATGGGAAACTGCAGCACCGACAGAAACAATCAATTTCCAAATAACAAAAAAATGCCGTATAAATTAAACCCGTGAAAGGATGTGGTATCTATACGTCACTCAGGATCTGCAAAACTGCAGCTCGGACATTAATGTTTGGCAAGCTTCCATCTGGTAGGGGTTCAAGCCAGTTCTTCAGCAGAGTTAAAACTCCATGATCTAGAAATTCTTGTTGGAGTTGTTTTCTATACAATACAGTATGCAATATTTGTAAGGAAATTCAAAAAAAATAAAATCTAAATCACTGCAATATGGAATGGAAGAGAAGAGGCAGAACAGGAAACTGACTTGGAAAGCACATCAGTTAGAAGAGACAGTTTCCGCAACTTGCTTATTGCAGGTCTACCCTGACGATTCAGCTCCGCATCTTCTTCTGCTACAACTTCCAACTCTGCCATCACATTCTCTACAAGTAGTGCAATTTCTGCGGCACTTTTTTCATTTTTCTTCTTCTTCTTGCCCACCTTGAACATCTGCTTGATTTCATCATCTTCTTCACCCTCTTCAGCCTGCAGAATTACAGCATGAAACACAAAGACAAATTATTTTCCTAACAATCAAATGTATTAAAAAAAAAAAAAAAACCAAGTTAATCCCAAACACCCTTCAAAATCTCAGATCCAGCCAAAAAAACATTAATAATGATAATGATACTCCACATATGAAAAATCAGAAGGAAAAATCAAACCTCCTTCTTTGATTTAGAGCTCATCTTAAGCTATAGTATAACTTGTATCGGAGAAACCAAGGAAAGGCAAAGATGGAGAAACACAGAAAAAATAGATAGAAGAGACAAAAGTTGAGTGTACAGAGGAAAAGAGTGACCTAAATAGAAAAATTTCAAATACAATAAAGCAAATGAAATCAATGCTGAGGTAGAATAGCATCGTTTCCTACACGCAACCATGCTTTCAAGATTCTCTTCAAGCGCGTGTGTTCACGCGGGCGTAAAGGTAGAGAGGGACAGGTGAATTAAATGTAATAGAGTCGAAGACGTAAACTAAATGACCTCATCATTTATAACCTCATACCAGAGGTGTCACTAGAACATTAAGCACGATTTAATTATAGTTGGTGACTAAAATAACATTCTAATTAGTAATTTATGTGATGCTCTAAGTGGCTGAATGTAGAGTTATTGAGTTACTTAATATTCAGTGTTCTAATAACATAAAAGAAATGAGGGGAAACAGTAAATACAGGGACTGCATTTTGGTTGCAAAACAAAGCCATAAATTCACAATTTTTTTAATAGCAAAAAAAAAAAAAAAGAAAGAAGCAGAAACATCAGTTTATCGATCATAAAATAAATTTCAACAGAGAAATGTACAAAGTAACACCCTAAAATTCCTACATCCTTACTCCGCCAGAGATAAATGTCAATAAACCCACAACAAAGCAATGGAATTCTGGCTAAATCAACAGGACAATTTAACTTGAACACAAATTAAACAGCCTTCATTGGTAACTAGTAACTCATTGTAAAATTTAACTTAGATTTTATTATTAATGGAAGGAAAGAAAGGAAGTAAATTGCTTAATGACATTCCAGCAATATTAGTATGAGAAATAAATTGTCAATATTATCTGGCATGGAGTGAAATTATTATTTAGTAAAGTACTTATAAATAATTAAACAAAGTTTCGATACAGAACTTTCTCACCTGTAAAAGAGATACTTTCGGGAGAATAAACAAATTGAGTATGCAGAAGTTCAGCTTAAAACATTAGGGTTGGCAGGTATTGTCCATATAACGGGTGTAGAAACACCAAACATGTGACCGAACAAGTTGCAGTTTGATGTGTAAGATAAGTAAATGCCACTCTGGTGAGCACATATACTAGATTTTAGAAATGGTCTGGATTTGACTAGTATGCGGAAGCAAGTCACACAATCAAAGATGTTTTAACATATATTTTCATCTATGAAAATTACAGGACAGGTGGGTGCTTAGCCAGAATGTCACACTACCTTGGAGATGGCATGGCTTACAATAAATAAATAAGTTCTCTAGGAAAGTTAAATTTACACATACAAATTGTAGATAAAACAGGGATGGATTGACACACAGACAACCAGATAAACACAAACACAAGAAATCGATTAAGATCTAGTTAGCTCCTTCATAGAGTAACATTAATTAATATAATGGTGTTGACAACTTGACATAATTTCAAAATTGTGCATCTCAAGGTCTTGTATGGCCTGGTGGTAGGGTTGTAAATGAATCAAATCATTTTAAAAAATATATTTAATTATTTGATTCATTTCGAATCTTAAGATGATATTCATATTCGATTGGAAATAGTTTTTAAATTATTCGATTCGATTTCAATATTATACAAATATTTGATTCAAAATGCGATTCATTTTTATTTTATCCGATTCAATTTGAAGCTATTCGTTTAGGACTTCTATTAATTAAAAATTTTAATAATATTATTAAAAAACTTGATTAAAAACTGTACATATTTATTATTTTTTCACACTGACAAAAAAAAGACTTCTTGCTCTAATATAAATAAAATTTTATTGTATAAGTGTAGTTTTAATTATATAATACTCCCTCCGTCCCAAAACAATAGAGACATTTGGGATGGGTACGGGAATTATAGTAGATGTAAAAGTGTTTCTAAAAGACTAAAATACCCTTACTTTACGTAATTATTGTGAAATAGTAGAGATAGTTTTGTAGAAAGGTGGAAAGATGGTTACCAAAAATGAAAATAAGACTATTGTTTTGGGACGAACGAAAATGACAAAATGAGATTATTGTTTTGGGATGGAGTATTTATTTATATAAATTTAAAAGTATCATTATTAATAAATTTAGTTTAATTATTTCTATTGGGAAATACATATATATGTATATTACTACTATATTTTATACTATTTATATGTTCTTTATCATCGAATCAAATATTTACGAATAGCGAATCGAATATTAAAATTTCATATTTATATTTGATTCGTATTCGAATTGAACAAAATTATTTGATCCATTTATGACCCTACCTGATGGTGGGGATGGACTCGTAACCGCGAGGTCATGGGTTCTAACCCCCAATGCCCTAGATCTTTTTTGACACACATAGTTCACCTAGTGTGACTTGCTTTGCCGAGCTTAGTTTATAAACTATTAGGTTCGGCCGAGATTTACCCAGAGCGCACTCGAAGACTAGCGGCTTTGAGTTCCGATGTCATTAAAAAAAATTGTGCATCTCATGTTTAAAATAGCGCCAACAACTCAAATGGCAACAAAATTCATGGTGATCATAAATGGTTTGCTAGACAACCTTATAACAGCAAAGCTTAATAACACTTATAGCGATTGTCACTTATAAATTAGAATGGAAGTTTATATCTTCTCCAACAAAAGAGATCTAGTTTTTAATTAACACCCATAACACTTCAAATGCAGCTAGCCATGAACCAAAGGAAAAAAGGGAAGCAAAATAACGACAGTTCAAGAATAGAAAGTTAATAAAAGTTATTACAACAAAGTTTATTTGTCTAGAGTGTATTTAAAATACAAATGAATATATAATAGATAAAATCCAAACCTGGGGATGACGACTTGGTGAATGCTCATTGTCACTTCCATACCGATCAGCAGGATCCACACCACTATCATCTATGAAGTTGTCATCATCAACAGTCCGAACACCGTCTTGATCATCCTATATGAATTTTAAGCTGAATCAACCAACAGTGTGCCATTTGAATTTTAAGAAACAGCAAGCAATGAAACATTCACTTGACTAGTCAATTATTTAGTGGCAGAAATCTTAACTTAAAAATTAAATTAATGAAACCTGCATCATGTGGTAAGCACCATATTTCTTTGATACAAATAAACATAATGATGGCAAATTGAAAACTCAATTGTAATTTTAAATTACTCAGTCTGATCAACATATATGACCATTAATAACACTTGTTGGAATGTGCTTACACACGCGCGCGCGCACACACACACACACATATATATATATCAAAGAGTGTACGGAGACCCACCCTCACCATCAAACTCTTCCTTTAAATCAATTTGAGACGATTTAAGAGAATTCAATACAATCTTTACACTCATTCAAAAATTTTACTAAGACAGGTCTCAATAAATCAATGTGCACATTCAAGCAATAAAATCATGTGTACAAAGAATCGACAGTAGATATGTGCAAGCATACACGAATATGTAAACAAACCCCTCAATTTTACAAAATACTCAAAACTCCCAACACCTCTGTAGTTAACATTGCTCAACAGTTTTATCAAGTTCAATGAATTCCTACCTTAACTACAAAAACCACTAAAACTCAATGACTTCACTTCAATAGGCATGTAACAAATAGAGAAGTGAATTCCGACGCCGCAATACAGAACATATCGAAGAGAATAAAATGAAGGCAGGCAGGCAGTCCAAACCTACCTCTGAATGACCACCCGCTATGGTATCCCACATCTCCTTCATCTCCGGGTCAGCCTCATGATCCCTCGTACTAGAACCTCCTCCTCCTCCTCCACTTTTCCTCAACTTTAACTTCTTTTCCCCTTTCTCCCCTCCCTTACTCCTCTTCTCAATACCCTTACTCTTCTCCCCTCTTCCCCTCTTCCTATTTCCTCCATCTGAATAATTATCTCTCACTACTCCACCCATGTTATCTCCATCATCACCATAAAACCCACCAATGTCAACCTCATTATCATCCAATCCAAAATCCTCCACTGGACCTGGATCTTTAAGGGGCGATGATTTTTTTATCAACCTCTTCCGGGGCTTTGCCTTGAAATCATCATAAACTGGAGTTGGCGACCGCTCACGGCGATTGTACATGGTATCATCATCTTCATCGTCCAAGAGATGGTGCCGAGGCTCATCCTGATCGGATTGGAAATCGGCATCGAAGTCCATCAATGGCTCTCCATCTTCATCTCGGTGCCTAAACGCGCACATAGACGAAACAATAATATAAAAACACCATTTCAAAATCTGCAAAACCTACTAAATTCAAGAACGCCCCTTTCCCACAAGACCACACAAGTACCAACATAAGCCAAAAAAAAACAAAAAAAAAAAAACCTGTTAAGAAAGGATCCTTGCTCAATCTAAAAAAATTGGTGATAATCGGATAAACAAAGGAATCCTAACGTTTTCCTATTCCTATGTGCGACAACGTTTAACAAACCCTAATTCGAAAAACATCCGTGAATTCACCGCCCAAAATTGCTGAGAAATTATACGAGAAACCCTAATTCTGCGATTGCCAAATTGGAACAGGATACTTACGGATCGTTTTCGTAACCCATGATCGATTAGCAAAATCACTCGCAGCCGAGCACCTGCGAAGGAAAAAAGGCACACGCAAATGGCGATGTGCCCTAGGCTGATCTGAGCGGCGTGCTTTAAATCCACTTGCAGGTATCTTGAATTGAGCCTTTGCCCGATGAGTTCCTTCCGCTGACGACAATAATCGACCCGTATAAAATCTAGTGAATTAATGAATTCGAGCAGTTGGTGATACACACCGCATAGTTCCTTCGTAACAGTCGAATGACAGGGTAAAAATATTACGGTGTGACAGTTTTGTGAGAAGAAATAGGCACATTTCTCAAAAATATTATCTACATAAATAAATTATTTTTATATTATTATACCATTCTCAATATATATCATTTTTAAAAAAATACTACAATTTTATAAAATCGGTAACATTTATCTTTCTTATTAAATGGAGAAATAAAAAATTATTCAGACTATTTCACAAAAGAAACAAACTCTCGGGAGGCGTTTGGTACAGAAATTGCACAGAAATAAGAGTAGATAATGGAATTTGAGAGAAAATAAATTGAGTAATTCTCTTGGTTTGTAGAATAGAAAATTGAGTTGAGAAATGTAAAAAAAATTAAATGGATCAGACAAAAATAAATGATTAATCTAACAAAAGAGAATTTTAGCGAATAAAAATTATAAAAAAATATTTATGGTAACTTTTTTTAAACAAAAAATTATAAATTATATACGAAATTTATAAGATCATATTTTAGTATAAATTTTTTTAAAAAAATCGTAAAAAATCAAATACTTGAATGATAAATTAAAAATAATTTTTGTAAAACTAAAATAATATAATATAAATAATTATAAAAATGAAATAGTACAAAAAAAATAAAAATATATATACTGAACATCATTTCTCTTCATTTCTCTGAATATATGAGAGAAATAAAAATAGAGAAATAAAAAACAATTTATTTCTTAACTTCCATTTATCTGATTCAAACAAATAAGGGAAATGAAAATATTTTTATTTCTCTACTGTCAATTCCCTATGCCAAAAACACCCTTACTCTCTTTCTCCCTCATCTAATTGACATCTTTATTTTTGTCAAGACATTTTTCTATTTAAGTAAAAATTTATTTAATTAAATATATAACATATAAAATCATATAATCCATTCAATTTTTTTTTATTTTTATCTCTGTCATAAAAAAAAAACAAATATGTTTGTTTATGTTTAAAATTCTAAATTTTTTATAAATTTAGTTTATATTAATTATAAATAAATAAACATATTTTTTATTTATTTGTATTATAAAAAAATTTATTCTCTATCAAATAATATCTATATTGTATATATTTTTTATTATGATATAATTTTTAAATTATTTAAATACATATTCTAAATTTTAATTATATATTAATTTTATCTTAAAACTTCTAATATTATTAATTATATAAAAATTAATAAAATAATATCATAATTTACTATTATTAAACATCATTATAATACTGTATGACTAATGAAAAGTGTCAATTCCACCGGGACGGAAGAGATACATATTTTTGTTCTATTTTTTTTTATTTTGAATAGATGATATAATATCTCTTTTGTTTTCGGTCAAAATAAAAAGTATATATTTTACTTTATTTCGTGAAATATTATATTAAATTAAACTATGTAAAATACTTCAGGGTTGTTCTTCCACTATATTTTTGACAGAAATTTCAATATATATAATATATTAAGGTGTGTTTTTTGTATTAGTTTGGGAAGATTTGGTTTAAATTTCAGTTGAATTTGATTTGATTTGATTTTTTAATTTTGAAAAAATGTCATTTTTTTGGGTTAATAGTTGGGTTAATAGGTTTTGTTTTTATTGGAGTACTTTTGATAGATAATAATAGTATTAAATTGAATAAATTAAATTTTTAATTAATAAAAAGAGCATCAATAATGGCCAAAAGTAAAAAGGCTTCCAAATTCTTATGTGTACAAGCCCACCTCATCAAGCTATGGATTGAGAAAAATAAATTACACAATGGTCTTAAAATTAAGGTGTGTTTCTTTAGAGTTGGTTTGAGAAATTTTGATTTGAGATTTGTTTGAATTTGAATTTTTTTATAATTTTGAAAATATGTGTTTCTTTAGCTTGGTAAATTTTGTTTGAATTTGAAGGGTTTTGATGAATAACAATGTGATAGGTAATTATTGGTTTGATATAAAATTATGATAGTATTATACTACTTCCGTCCGCTTATAAGGGTCTCATTTATTTTATTGTTTGTTGATCTTTAAATATTAGTTATTATATGAAAACGTAGTACAAATCAAGAAAAAATTATAAAAATACTTCTAGTACTGTCTTATAATACTATTATAATAATATTTGTGCAAATTTTTTTTACAAATATAAAGATATTTTTAAGTTACAAACAATGTTGCAAAATGTAAATGAGATCCTTAGAGCCGGACGGATAGAGTATTATTTTTTGAATATATAATTATTAAATTCTAATTATTAATTATAATTAAATAATACAGGTGACCTGAAGCGTCGGGGTTAGAACTCATGATCTCATGGTCATACGTCCAACCTCCACACCATCAGGCCATCTTTTAGGGGACTTCCTTTCTCTCTTCTTTCTTCTTTCTCCAAATTGTTCTTTCATCCTTTTTTTCTTCCTTTTTTTTTCCTTCTTCTTCGTCTCCAGCCACTTTGCTAACAATGCCTTGCCGCTGACCCTCCATTACCCGTTGACAAACAAATCCCACTGCATTGTCGGTATATTGGAAAGGAAAAAGAAATTTTGGGTTGGTGAAGGGGCGGAAGTTATGAAAATGGAGTGAGGAGTAAAAGTAAGAGGAAATGCCGCGACCCTCCATCCCTAACGTCGTCGGTGAGTGGGGTTTTAGAAGAGTTTTGTTTGATAAATAAAATGGGAAAGGGAAATGTTGCTCAATGTAAAAATAGACGAAGAAAGAAATATTGTCGATCAAAGCCTAGGAAGAGTAGGTGGTAGAGTCTGTCCTCTAGCTTCGGTTTCGCCCCAAAATTCCCTTCCACAGTGCCTCAATTTTGATAGCTGTTTGTTTTAGATTTTAATTAAAATGAGCAACCAAAACAAACAAGACTCTCAAATAATAGAAATTCACAACCGAATAAAAGATTTCATCATTCATTGCTTTAATTCACTCAATTTTATATTTTGAATTGGTTGCCTTATACACACTAGGGGCATATGAAAGAAAATCAAAATCATTAAACCTAACAAATTGTTTAATAGTTCTTTTAGGTCTATTTAAAATTCTTTGATTCAAATTATCATTTGAAGGATCAAACATATTTTTTCGTTGAAAATCAACACAAAATCAGGATTGGTACCATCGTTTTCACATTGAAAAACTACTTAAATTTGATTAAAACTCGTAGAGTTTTTTATATTATTGACATAATTTTCTATACTTTATATAAAAAAATACTCATATTCTATGCTGTGTTGAATTATTGAATTTTATGAGAAAAGATAATATATATTATTTTTTTATTAATATTTATAAAAAAAATAGTGTCAAAACAAATTTATTGAGTAAACAAACTAAATATATATAGATATCTTTTATTATTGATCAATTCTATATACCTCACATCAAAAAATATTTTGCACTAATAATTGTTTTCTTTTGGGGAATTTTCCCAAATTTCCACTATTCATCAAAATTTTTTCTCCCTAAAATATTAAATCAAATACCTATTTTTTTATTTTTTATATTATACTAAAGATCAATTTATATTAAAAATATCACATCAATATCTTTTTATATCACATCATAGCACTATTCAAATTCAAATTTTTTACTATTTAAATTTCAACTCAAAATCCAAACTCCCCAAACAAACACACAACAAACAAATCCTTGATGTTTTTTCTTTTTCTTTTTAGTAAAAACAAATTTGTTTATAGTATAAATAAATGATTTAAATACCTCTAACCTAAAAATTATTTAAGTTCAGTCACTCCTCATTTTAACAAAGTATTGTACTCCATACTTTTTATTTGAATTTACACTTTATTCCTTAATACCAACTTTACCCTTGAAATCACAATACATTATAATGAATATTGTATGTACTTTATGTTATTTTTATATAAACCTACATTATCTAATTATATACCTCAAAATTATCCCGCACTGTATGAAGAAAATGTCAAATTAATATGCTTGGAATTTTTATTTATATACTAAAATCAATTACAAAAATTTAAACCGAAAAAAAAACCTTAATAAAACTCATAATCTCATGTTGTGGATGGGTTTATTTCTTCCAATCTCTTCCCATTCTACTATGCCCCCCACTGCCGAAGCACCCTGTGACCTATCGCGCAGTCAATCAAATATTTCACCTACTCTATGATTACAATTTAATGTAATATAGGGGAAGAGATCGTCTCCACAGGGATTGTGTGATTCACTCTTTCGTGTTGTAAATAAAGGGGGAATTTTCTTTTATTATCTAATAAAAATAAAATAACAAAGCAATTAAATTAAAGGGGACTGACTATCAAGGGGATGCCTGGCTCAAGGGATGATGCAGTTATGACACTTGTGTTTTATCATTGATTCAATAAAATTAATTCTTATTAAAGTATCAATAAATTGGTTATAGTTATCAACAAGCTCTGACAACCAATTTTTCCTTACAGTGTAGGTAATTAAGGTACGACCGTTAACTACCCCTAATTAAGCAAATAAACCTAGGTGCGCCCATAAGAATATTGCCTAACCGCATTCCAATCTAGAAAACCCAATTCAAAATAATTACTACCTAAGAGGAGCAATTAGATTTGATTGTCTAACCCCGGGAAGGAACTATTCAACCCGGTTATCACCTATTCAAGTGCGAATACAATTACGGATATCCTACCTGAATTGAATTTAGATTATCAAACTAATTTAAATATCGGTACCAAAATATTCAATCAATCTAACAATCACAAACGCTATTATCAGAATTAGACAAATATTGATAATCAAAAAGAACTTTTATAAAGAAAATCAAGAATCTCCAAAACAAAAGAACCAAAATATTATCACCCCACCCCTCAAATCAGAAAAGTATATACTCCATAATCAAATAACAAAGAATAAAAGAGAAAGATGAAGTCATAGTGAGAGGGGGAAATCTTCTCTGTCGATTTGCTCATGCGCGATCTATGAATCTGTCAGTCTCCTGCTCCTGTGCGTTTCTGCCCTAGCCGTCCTCCTCT